TCAGTCCTGATTTAGCCCTCCTGGTTCAGTCCTGGTTCAGTCTTGGGATCAGTCCTGGTTTAGTCTGGTTTTCCAGGTTTAGTCCTGGGATCAGTCCTGGTTTAGTCTTGGTTTAATCCTGGTTTAGTCCTGGGATCAGTCCTGGTTTAGTCTTGGTTTAATCCTGGTTTAGTCCTGGGATCAGTCCTGGTTTAGTCTTGGTTTAATCCTGGTTTAGTCCTGGGATCAGTCCTGGTTTAGTCTTGGTTTAATCTGGTTTAGTCCTGGGATCAGTCCTGGTTTAGTCTTGGTTTAATCCTGGTTTAGTCCTGGGATCAGTCCTGGTTTAGTCTTGGTTTAATCCTGGTTTAGTCCTGGGATCAGTCCTGGTTTAGTCTTGGTTTAATCCTGGTTTAGTCCTGGGATCAGTCCTGGTTTAGTCTTGGTTTAATCCTGGTTTAGTCCTGGGATCAGTCCTGGTTTAGTCTTGGTTTAATCCTGGTTTAGTCCTGGGATCAGTCCTGGTTTAGCCTTGGTTTAATCCTGGTCTAGTCCTGGGATCAGTCCTGGTTTAGTCTTGGTTTAGTCCTGGTTCAGCCCTGGGATCAGTCCTGGTTTAGTCTTGGTTTAATCCTGGTTCAGTCCTGGGATCAGTCCTGGTTTAGTGTTGGTTTAATCCTGGTTTAGTCCTGGGATCAGTCCTGGTTTAGTCTTGGTTTAATCCTGGTTTAGTCCTGGGATCAGTCCTGGTTTAGTCTTGGTTTAATCCTGGTTTAGTCCTGGGATCAGTCCTGGTTTAGTCTTGGTTTAATCCTGGTTCAGCCCTGGGATCAGTCCTGGTTTAGTCTTGGTTTAATCCTGGTTTAGTCCTGGGATCAGTCCTGGTTTAGTCTTGGTTTAATCCTGGTTTAGTCCTGGGATCAGTCTTGGTTTAGTCCACACGTCTCTCCTCCTCAGTGGCTCTCTGGCGCCCCCCGGGGGAGTCGGGTCTCACCTCTTGAAATCCTCTGTTCTAATCCATCCTTCTTATGTCTTTTTAATTAATTTCACCCCTCTGTCCTTCCCTTATATAAGTTACTTTCTGTCTTCCTTTCCATCATTCTTTCCTCCCTCTCTCTCTCTCTCTTTCTTTCTCTCCGTGGTTCATGTCTGCCTCCATTTTTCTTGCTTTAATGCTATCTGGAGTCCCCTCACTGTCCTCCCCTCTGCTCCTCTCCTGTCCATCGTTCTTCACTAAAATGGCCGCCCTGGAAAACCCTGGCCCTCAGCAAAAATCTCACCACTCCTGTAGTGCGCCCAGATCACTCCTCTCTCTCTCTCTCCTCTCCTCTCTTCCCTCTATCTCCATCCCTTCCTCTTTCCCACTCTCTTCCCCTTATACCTCATTTCCTCCTCTCTCTGTTTCTATCTCCTCTTCGTCATTTCCCTTTCTCTTTTTACATTAAAATTGTTCATCTACTCCTTCCCTCTTTCCCCCTTATAGCTCATCCTCTCTCTTTTTCTATCTCCTCTTCTTCTTTTCTCTCCTCTCTCCACGTTATAATGGTTCGTCTTTCTATATTTCTCTTCCCTCTTTCCCCCCTTATAGCTCATCTCCCCCTCTTGTCTTTTTTTTATGTCCTCCTCTCTCCCCTTTCCCCCCATCTCTCTCTTTTATTACTTTCTCCACTCCTCTCTTTTTCTCTCCGTTCTCTCTCTCCCTGCAGCTAAAACTCACACCTAAATCCGCATAAACATGTATCGGAAGCTCAGACGTGTTGAATCAAGGCCCTGGGGCTTTTGTGCAACGTCAAAAAATCTAATGAAATTAATTTGTAAAAGGTTTTCGCCGAGTTGTTTCGGGATTTAAAATGTAGAATAATAAACTGGAATTCGATTTAATGCACAGTGGACTTCAGGGTAATGAATTATATCAAAAGTGACAATTGGAGTTTACATGAGAGCTTTAATTCTGAATAAAACTCAATTCTGCTTTAAAAAGACCAAGACTTAACTCCTAATAAAAATGATTATTCAGAATAAACTTGATTTCGAAGTAAGTGGGTGGTTTATTCTGATTTTAAAACTGAATTAATTTATTCCTCGATCATGCAAACGCTTATTCTTCTTAAAAATAATTCCAGGCGTTCAGCGCGTTGACTCAGTTTGACTCACAGATCTGAGCTGTAACCTGGTCTGGTTTGGTCTCCATGAAGATAAAAAAGGTTTAAAGCCATACTGTGAAACATCTCTGACAGATACTCCACCAGAAAAGTTACACAATGTACCTTTAAGTATGTGTTGTAAATACTGTATAAATGATAGTTTTACACCAATCAAGAAAGAATTTGCAAACAAAAACGTAAACATACCTTGAAGTAGTATTTTAGAGAGTTCTATTCAAAAGTCCAGCACAATTTACACAAGAAACACATTTTCCTGATACTTTAAACCAGAGGTGGGACCAAGTCGTTGTTTTGCAAGTCTCAAGTAAGTCTCAAGTCTTCGACCTCAAGTCTGAGTCAAGTCCCAAGTCAAATACAGGCAAGTCCAAGTCGAGTCTCGAGTCACTGACCTTCAAGTCTCAAGTAAGTCTCAAGTCTTCGACCTCAAGTCTGAGTCAAGTCCCAAGTCAAATACAGGCAAGTCCAAGTCGAGTCTCGAGTCACTGACCTTCAAGTCTCAAGTAAGTCTCAAGTCTTCGACCTCAAGTCTGAGTCAAGTCCCAAGTCAAATACAGGCAAGTCCAAGTCGAGTCTCGAGTCACTGACCTTCAAGTCTCAAGTAAGTCTCAAGTCTTCGACCTCAAGTCTGAGTCAAGTCCCAAGTCAAATACAGGCAAGTCCAAGTCGAGTCTCGAGTCACTGACCCTCAAGTCTCAAGTAAGTCTCAAGTCTTCGACCTCAAGTCTGAGTCAAGTCCCAAGTCAAATACAGGCAAGTCCAAGTCGAGTCTCGAGTCACTGACCTTCAAGTCTCAAGTAAGTCTCAAGTCTTCGACCTCAAGTCTGAGTCAAGTCCCAAGTCAAATACAGGCAAGTCCAAGTCGAGTCTCGAGTCACTGACCTTCAAGTCTCAAGTAAGTCTCAAGTCTTCGACCTCAAGTCTGAGTCAAGTCCCAAGTCAAATACAGGCAAGTCCAAGTCGAGTCTCGAGTCACTGACCTTCAAGTCTCAAGTAAGTCTCAAGTCTTCGACCTCAAGTCTGAGTCAAGTCCCAAGTCAAATACAGGCAAGTCCAAGTCGAGTCTCGAGTCACTGACCTTCAAGTCTCAAGTAAGTCTCAAGTCTTCGACCTCAAGTCTGAGTCAAGTCCCAAGTCAAATACAGGCAAGTCCAAGTCGAGTCTCGAGTCACTGACCTTCAAGTCTCAAGTAAGTCTCAAGTCTTCGACCTCAAGTCTGAGTCAAGTCCCAAGTCAAATACAGGCAAGTCCAAGTCGAGTCTCGAGTCACTGACCTTCAAGTCTCAAGTAAGTCTCAAGTCTTCGACCTCAAGTCTGAGTCAAGTCCCAAGTCAAATACAGGCAAGTCCAAGTCGAGTCTCGAGTCACTGACCTTCAAGTCTCAAGTAAGTCTCAAGTCTTCGACCTCAAGTCTGAGTCAAGTCCCAAGTCAAATACAGGCAAGTCCAAGTCGAGTCTCGAGTCACTGACCTTCAAGTCTCAAGTAAGTCTCAAGTCTTCGACCTCAAGTCTGAGTCAAGTCCCAAGTCAAATACAGGCAAGTCCAAGTCGAGTCTCGAGTCACTGACCTTCAAGTCTCAAGTAAGTCTCAAGTCTTCGACCTCAAGTCTGAGTCAAGTCCCAAGTCAAATACAGGCAAGTCCAAGTCGAGTCTCGAGTCACTGACCTTCAAGTCCAAGTCGAGTCTCAAGTCTTAGTCCATTTTATCAAGTCAAGTCTCAAGTCCTAAAAATAGTGACTCAAGTCTGACAACTTGCAAGTTCCCAAATCTGATTTAAACATAATTAAATAAATAAATAAATAAATGTCTCATATTAGAGGAGTTTGGGCCCAGGCAGCAGTTATGGAATTTCCAACATTTCCAACCAGGAAGTAAAATGTGAAACCTAAAAATGGGCGACACATTGTTACAGGAGACACAAAGGTTAAAACGGTCAGTATGCATCAGCAAATCTTGCAGAGGCGGCGCAAACATTAGGCAAAATAGGCGGCTGTTTTAGGGCCCCCAAACCTGGAGGGGCCCCGATAACCCCCGATTACAATTACCCTCAGTACCACTAATGGCCGAGACCTCAGAGTAATTAGATTTTCTCTCAATATGACATTAAATGAGAGGAGTTTTACTTTTAAACAATAATCATAAGAAGAAAAAAAAAATAGCAAAAATGTAATTGTACAAGCAAAAAAAAAAAAAAAACTACTTTCAGCTCTGGTTTTCTAGTAGGCGACCAAACTAGTAAGACAAGTCTCCAACCCACCATAATTCAAATAAATAGAGATGAGCATGTCTCAAGAACAATGGGGAAAACCAGACAATAAATATAAATATTTTAAAAAACGGTGCATTATAGTGAGGACCCCAAACTTAATTTCGCCTAGGGCCCCCAAATTGCGAACTCCACCACTGAATACTTGGTCTGTTAGCTCATGGTCTTTCTAGAATTATGGTCTACTTCCCAAAGTTAAAAAAAAAAATGGAGTTTTCAAGTACTACAAGATCTAAACCAGTTCTAACAGGACTAGGCCAGGTCTAAACTAGAACTAAACCAGGACTAAAATCACAAATTATTCCTAAAAATGGACAAAAACAAAGAACGTTGAGTAAAATGTTCAGTATAAACTTCTGTTCTGGATGAAAGCGTGTTGTGTTATTGACAGTGATCGTGAACAGGTCTGTGGGTAGTGCAGCTTCAAGAATCCACGATAAAACAGTCGACAGTAAAAATAGCCATAGAGTGACACACAGAGAAGCCCACTCATTCGCACACGGAGAGTACAGAGAGGAGGGAGGGAGGAACGAGGGAGGGAGGGAGGAGGGGACAGGGGGAAGAGAGAGGGGGGAGGTGTAGGGTCACTTACTGGCTGTACAGTTAATCCTGATACAGTCTGGAGGAAGAGCAGAGCAGAGGGTTAGAGCTGCCCACAGAAGAGAGCCCACGCCCGGGGACGCTCCCATCAACACACCCCTGTCCACCTCCAGGCGCCGGACCACACTGGAACCAACTCTCCCAAGAAATCTATATTATTTTTATTTATATTTATCTGTATACTACAAATATTCTGTGTAGGTCTATGTAATATTTCATGATTTGGCTGACAAAATAATTGACACTGCAAGAAAATACATAAAAGTTCTCCATTTTATAGAAGTGTACTGTTTGTGGAAATTAAAATGAACAAAAAGGAAGTTTTTATGAATGATTTTCCTGATTAAGTCTTGGGTTTTGTCTTTAAGAATTTATTTGTCTTTAAGAATTTATTTTTGACCCAGTTTGACTGCAGTAAATGAAGGCAAATGTATTGTTTGTTTTCATTTTTTTTGTTTCATTTTTTGCACTGGATTTATTGTGCAAAACGTTTCTCATATCGAGCATGTCTTATTTTTTTAAGTCTTATTTTGGACAGTAATTGTTATGGGGCTGTGTGATATTTTGTGATTTGGTTGATAAAATCATTGTTACTGCAAGAAAATACATATAAATTCTCTGTTTAACTGAAGTGTACTGTTTGTGGAAAGTAAAATGGACAAAAAGGAAAGTTTTATGAATGATTTCCCTTATTAAATTTTATCTTAGTCTTGGGTTTTGTCTTTAAGAATGTATTTTGACCCAGTTTGACTGCAGTAAACGAAGGCAAGTGCAGTTTTTGCTTATTTCTAAAGTCTTATTTTAGTTTTTAAATTGCAAAATTATCAGCTGATACGTGTATTTTCCATAATGAGGAGACTTTGGTGAAGTCGCAAAGTCTTTAAGAAATTAAAATGGACAAAAAGGAAGGTTTTATGAATGATTTTCTGTATTGAATCTTGGGTTTTGTCTTTAAGAATTTATTTTTGACCCAGTTTGACTGCAGTAAACGAAGGAAAGTGCATTTTCTGTCTTCATTTAACTGGACTTACTGTGCAAAACTTTTCTCATATCCTGCAACTTTAATTTCTAAAGTCTTATTTTAGTTTTTAAATTGCAAAATTATCAACTCATACAGGTATTTTCCATAATGAGGGGACTTTGGTGAAGTCGCAAACTCTAATTATCTACTCTGAAGTTGGACAGTAAATTGGTATAGGGTTGTGTAATATTTCGTGATTTGGCTGATAAAATAATTGATACTGCAAAAAATACATATAGTTCTCCATTTTATAGAAGTGTACTGTTTGTGGAAAGTAAAATGGACAAAAAAAAGCAGGTTTTATGAATTATTTTCCAAAAGAAGTCTTTAAGAATTGTCTTTAAGAATTTCTTTTGACCCAGTTTGATGCAGTAAATGAAGGAAAGTGCATTTTCTGTCTTCATTTAACTGGACTTATTGTGCAAAACTTTTCTTATATCGTTCACCTTTAATGTCTAAAGTCTTATTTTAGTTTTTGAATTGCAAAATTATCAACTCATACAGGCATTTTCCATAATGAGGACGCAAAGTCTAATTATCTACTCTGAAGTTGGACAGTAAATTGGTATAGGGCTGTGTAATATTCTGTGATACAGTATTGGCAAGAAAATACATCTAAGTTCTCCCTTTTACAGAAGTTTAACTGTTTGAGAAAAGTAAAACGGACAAAAAAGCAGGTTTTATGAATGATTTTCTGTATTGAGTCTTGAGTTTTGTCTTTAAAAAAACATTTTGACCCAGTTTGACTGCAGTAAAAGAAGACAAATGCAGTTTTTGTTTTCATTTAACTGGACTTATTGTGCAAAACTTTTCTCAGATCGTGCACCTTCAACTACTAAAGTCTTATTTTAGTTTTTGAATTGCAAAATTATCAACTCATACAGGTATTTTCTATAATGAGGAGACTTTGGTGAAGTCGCAAACTCCAATTTCCTACTCTGAAGCGAGACAGTAAATTGGTAGTTACAGTAATAGCTGATACACTTGGCTTTGTTTATTGCTCTATATGCGTCACTACTCTACAATATTGTGAGAAAATATAGCATCAAAATTAAATAGGGGCTTTTAGTAACATTTTTATATAATCTATTTAATAATTGTTAATTGATAGAACAAAAATCCAAGATAAATTAAACAAAGCAATGGATTAATGTGTTATTTAGCTTTAAAAATGTTTGCAATTCATAATAAATATTGAGAATTAATTAATTACAGTTTTGCATAATATTTTCCTAAACATATGAACTAAAACAATATATTTTCCAGGAGAGTGAAAGGTCCCAGTGTGCGCCCGGTGCCTATTGGCTGCTTTGGTTTGAGTGACATTTCCAGCCTCCAATCAGAATCCTCCAGAGACTGAGCTGGGCCAATGGCGTCAGAGTCTCCGTTGACATCTGACCCGCCCCCTCCGATCCTGCCGCTCACCCAAAGCACAAATCTCCGCCAAAAACGGGAGATTTGAAAACATTTTGGCCATTTAAAGGTTTTACCCAGAATGCCTTGGTGTGTCGTGAGGCGTCAACCACAGAGAGGCGTGGCTGCAAACAACCAGAGACCAAAAAGAGCACCAAAAACTGAACCGCAGATGTGATTATGTGAAATAAATATGCCTCAAATATATATGTAGAATTCAAAACTGCAAGTAATTCAATTTGTTTATTCATGGATTTCAGTTCCACCATTGACACCATTTTGAGGACTTTAGGCCGTTCAAAAGATGTACCATATTCTTCAGACTATAAGGCGCAATAGCAATAATGCTGAATTCTCTCGTCTGTTTTCATACATAAGGCGCATTAAGAGAAACTAACCGACGACACTTGAGACTGATCTCGTAGCCCAGGAGTCCACGATCCATTGGCAGATCGTGGCGTAATTTGCTCGGCGTTACCTCGGAGTGGATAATTAAAGTTTTTTTTTTTTTATTTCCTACGAGGAGGACTCAACTTAGCCTGATTCACCAGCCGGTTTCACGTCATAGAAACCGTCTGACCTCATTTGCTCGTCCGTAGGAAAGTACTTTTTTTTATTTAACCAATCGCTGTTATTTGGTCGTGAAGTATGTACCGTACTAACTGGTATATTAAGCTTTTCCCAAATCCCGTAGGAAGAAGGGCAATAACGTCTTTCCCCTTATTAAAATTCACTAAACATTCTCTTTGTTCCGGCTTTAAATCGTCAATCTCGGAATCGTTGGCAACACAGAATATACGGCTCTTCGCTGATTGTCTGGTGCCCGAACTCACACATCCTGGGGTTTTTGCGAACCGTCTAGTGTATTCCGATTCCTGACCAAGTCGCTGGAGAGAAATGAAATTGAGCGGAGACACTAGGTGCCAGCCTGGCTAGACTCAAATATACATTGAGTAATAATGTGTACACGCACATTTGTTTACGTTTTACAGAAATGAACCTTAAAACCACATAACTAATTTGCATAAACTGTGAGTGCTGAAAAACTGTTCGCTCCTTGTAAACTGATGCGGTTCAGCTTCTGACAGACTAAGGATCATAAATTGGGCTTTACTCTGCGAGGCTCCTGAGTACAGCAGCCATAATGCTCTGACAATCCATCAAGCGGTGCGGCTTCCTAACTTTCCAAAGTCTTACTAAAATATTCTGACAGATTTTTGAGCGCCGTGTACCACATAAAATTAGTTCGAGGTCAGTAAACACAACCAGAATTAATACATACACCGGATTAAAATCGATTTTTGACAAAATTAAGGATTTTAAGTGTGCCTTATAGTCTGAAAAATATGGTAATTTTTATTGTAACGGTACAAATTTTTCATCACTACAAACCATGGATGGATTGAGAATTTATTCAAAGTCGTAGTATAACTAAACAATGTCATTTTCACATAGGGTTTGACTTAAACTAACTTGGCTCAAATTACAAAGCAAACTTGATTTGTCCTGCTATGGGCGCCATTTTGAGGACTTTTGACCATTGCAAACATATCATATTTTTAATTGTTAATATCTATGGCAACAGTCCTCGTTATCCCAACACTCTGAAACCCATGGATAAACCCAAAGAGCTGAATTTAATACACACTATAAAACTCTTCCCATGCGTACTCGCTAGTGTGGGCATATACATTATTTAAGTGGCATTATTGTGTTTCTGAGGTTGCTGTTGTCGTGGTGACCGGGTGCAGAGGTCTCCTGGCAGTGAGCAGAGAATGCAGCTGAAGCGTCACCCTCTGTTCAACAACAAAACCTGACACACACTAAAAACTCTGGAAAATAATGTGACACTGAAATAAACTTTTTAACATTAAGCAAGAGGCAGATGTAAGGCTGGGCAATACTGGACTATTTACATGTTTATTTGCACAAAATTAGTATAAAACATATTGTAAAAATGTAATATAACTAGGGCTGTTATGTAAGGACGAGATAACTACACTAAAGAAAGTATAAATAAATATAAATAAGAATAATGGCCACAATTGGTTAATATGTATAATTGTATTTACTGTATGTTCTATATTTATTTTTGTAATTTTCCACATTATATCAACACGTTATTTCAAAATATAGTCAAATTTCTATGGACCATACTGTATTTTGTGCAATTATTTCTGAATTAAATGCATTTTTGTATACTTTATAATAAGGGTCAGTGTCAAATTTTGAAAATATAGTAACAAAAGTACAAAAAACAAAGCAGTATCCAGCTGTATCATAATATAAAACTGACAAAACTGAACGAAAGTATAAATAAATATAAATAAGTATAAATAATGGCCATAATTGGTTAATGTCTTGTATTTACTATATGTCCTATATTTATTTTTATAATTTTCCAACTTTGTATCAACACGTTATTTCAAAATACAGTCAAATTTCAATGGACCATACTGTATTTTGTGCAATTATTTCTGAATTAAATGTATTTTTGTATACTTTATAATAAGAGTTAGTGTCAAATTTAAAAAGTATAGTAACAAAAGTACAAACTAATGTCATATTGAGCTATATCATAATATAAAATTGACAAAACTGAAAGATAGAATAAATATAAATAATATAAATATAAAGTATAAATAATGGCCATAATTGGTTAATGTCTTGTATTTACTATATGTTGTATTCTATATTTATTTTTGTAATTTTCCAAATTGTATCAACACTTTCTTTCAAAATATCTGTAGTTCAATTTCAATTAACTGTATTTTGTGCAATTATTAGTAACAAAAGCACAAACTAATGTCATACCCAGCTATGTCATAATATAAAATTGACAAAACTGAAAGAGATTGTGTTTCATATATAAAGAGAATATATATTACATGCATTTTTAATTTTATTTATTAAAAAAAATTAATAACAAGTGCATTAACAGTATGTAAATATGACAGATTATCGCCTATAACTGCAACTGTAGCTGTTGTTATTGTCTGTTTTTTATGTCTTTTTATTGCAGATTAAAGATTAATGTAGAAAATATACTGCCCAGCCTTACATTGCACCAAGAATATTAACAAATTGTGACAGTGTGTAACTCTTACCCTATGTAATCAATAGTTCTGTAAGTGCATTTTTCAGACTTAACAGCACTTAATCGTATTCCCATAAAACCCACATTATTATATTATTTTCCAGTGACTACATAAACATTGTGTCTGATATATATTGGCGAAGCTTCAAGTTAATTCACATTTCATATATTTGAACTGTTACGCATCAAAACCATAGACTGTATATAAAAATGGACACAAAGGAAGTGAGCATGGGGGCGCTTCTGGCTCCATCGACTCTGGCTCCAATCGAGTTTACATTGAAAATATTGTCACCGTTGTTGTCAGACTCGTTACTCTGGTCTTAAAATGTTCGTATTAATCCGTTCTACATGATCCTGGTGTTTTTATTTGGCTTTTTTGTCCGTAAATCAAGACGTAAACATTAAATAAAGTCAAATTGGGTGCTTTGTTTCTCCAAATTTACTCCAGTTAGAGTGAGAAACAGGTTTGATTGATTGTTGAATGCGATGATTGATGTCACACAGACAAAATTTTGGTGTCACTGTGATGTTTTCTGAAAAGTTCCATATCTAAGCTTTATATAAGACTTTTCTGAGCTTCAGCTGTATCACAGTTAGGCTTTTTGTCCACTTCTTTACACAGTCTATGGTCAAAACTAATATTTTATAGGGATGGTACAAGATTTCATGAGACAAAATTGCCACAAGAAGAGAAGAACGAGTTCGTGAAATTTGTTTTTGTTTTGTGTTTCATTTCAATTGGACAAAAACAGGTTAAGTATTGGTGAATTAGATCTCTTACAGTTCCAAACAAGTGTTAGAATGGAAGAGGGATGTAACAATAACCGAAATATCGCGATATCGTATCGTCAGAAGTCTCACAATAAGATCGAGAGCTGTCAAAATATATCGAATTATAAGTTGCTTTGCTTAAATGATTGTTCTTTAGTAGGAACTGCTAATAAACATAGAGAACTACATATCCCATGATTCCTTTCAGCGCAAACAACATGAAGAAATATGTTTAATAATTCGCACAAATATCTGGTCAAGTGTCCTATCTAGAATTATATTTGCAACTCCAAAATGTCGCAATAAATATCGTACTGAGAGATTTGGATATTGTTACATCCCTAGAATTGAAACAACAATATGAAATCAAAGAAATAAAAAATTGTGAGGCCAAAAGTGGAAATTGAATCGTGAAATTTATATATTACGAATTATGTTAAAATCTTGTCTTGTGATATTCTCGTGAACCCGATCTCGTCTCGTCTTGTGGAAATTTAATCTCGTCCCATCCCTATTTTCTGATATTACTTAAGAGATTGTGCAGTACGTACCCAGGTTCACAGTGAGCCGCACCCGTCCCCCGTCCAGCTCCAGTCTCAGGGTGTCGGCGGAGTTCCTGGAGGTGGTTGCCATGAGGATCCCGTAGGCGCGTTGAGACCTGAACCGCAAAGACACATCCTCCGCCTCCGTGTGCATCGCTACGGGCAACTGCACCTTCATGAATTTACTGCCGTCGTAAGAGAGGATGGTGGCGTCTGGAGAAAGAGAGAGAGAGAGAAGAGAGAAATGTATCAGGGAATCCTTCAAAAGTACTGGAAAATGTCGACGAAAACAAGCAGGTTTGACAAAAAGTAGAGCATGAAAGGTGCACTGTGTAAGTTTTCTTCTACAAGGTACGACACCTGCTGGTATGTTTCAAACTATGACATTAAATATATAAATCTCACAGGACTAAATGCTAAGAATACCCCGAGGCCAAGTTACAGGTCAGATCTGTGGAGATGTGACCCCGCTCAGAGTAAAAAATGTTTTTCAAGGAAAGTCTTTAGCAAATAGCTGTAATATATGAAATACAATACAGACCGATTTAATGCCATACAGTGGAATTTCCAAAACCAACACAATTAAGCTGATCCATCCAACTTCTCTAGTAGCCACAGCCGCCCTGGGGTAGACTAACTGAAGCAAGTCTGCCATTCTGCATCATCGATTCTAAGGCTACGTTCAGACTGCAGCCTGAAGTGACCCAAATCAGATTTTTTCACCCCTATGCTCCTGTATCTGGTCTTTTAATGACAGTCTGAACGATACAGATCAGATTTTTTCGAATGCGACCCAGGCCACTTGGATATGTGCTCCTAAAACCGACACATATCCGATCTTTTGACACGTGACTTCAGTCTGAACGGTCAGGTCACATTCATCCCACCTACACGTCAAACTCAGAGTCTAGTCAGTGGAGATAGAGCGAGGTTAAAGAGTTTATTTATATTAGGGAGGATCGCTGTATTCAGGCCAAATTGAAAGAGTCATATTAGATTTTGAAATGATTATCAAAGAAATGGCCGAGCGCAGGTACAGGCGGTCCTGGTTCCAATGTGAATGAAATATAAAGAGCCTGCGAGCCAAATACAAGGAGGTTAAAGACTCAAACAAATGAAGCGGCCGTGGACGTGTAACCTGTCCATTTTACGAAGAACTGGACCGTATTTTGGGAGACAAGCCCAGAGTTTAGGCGACTTTTGTAAACACTGAGCCTGTTCGCTGTGTGTGACGTCGTCGTGTCCTCCAGTGCGCATGCTGGACACTTTCGGGGCGTTTAAAGTTCACACTGAAGATCACACACAAGTCGCATTTAATTGGAAATGTGAACGGCCTTGCAAAAAAATCAGATTTCACAAAAAAAATAATAAAATCTGAATTGAGCATTAAGCCCAGCAGTCTGAACGTAGCCTAATATACACAGGCAAGTGAGTGAAGTGTCTTCCCTGAGAACACAACAACATGTACTTGTAGAAGCAAGGACCTTTGAATTGGTGGGCGAACGAAATTACCACTCAACCATTGTAATTTTGTTTTCTATTTTGATTCAAGGTGCAAACATCTTCTTGTCAAAACGTAGAATCTAATATAACGAATTAGTGTTTAATAGGAATTTAACAATATCCAAATCTCTCAGTACGATATTTTCAGGACATACATCTCACGGAACGATATGTATTGTGATATTTCCTGGACGCAAAACTGTTAATATGCAACTTTTTCCACTTAAAATGCCTTGACAAGACTTAATCCAAAGAACTAAGACTTAGAAGTGCTTAGAACTGTTATTTCTTCATGTCGTCTGCACTGAAATGGAGCAAAGGATCATGGTCTATGTAGTTCCCTCTGTCTTTTTATAGCTATTGCTGCACCATAACTCTTAATTTAAGCAAAGACACTTGTAATTCAATATATTGTGATGGTCCACGATATTATTATGAGACTTTTGACAATACGATATCATGATATTTCGGTTATTGTTACATCCCTAGTGTTTGATACTCGATTTCGATACCACAAAGATAATTCATAGACTGTCATTGTCAACATTAAATCATAGTACTTTCTTTGATATTCCCATGTGGTCTGTGTAATACCATGGGCGTGTACTAGTCTATGTGCTCTTATATTTGTTCTGATACAGCTCAAAATCATTCTAAAACTATTCAGGAAACGCTCATTTCTGTCCTGTGAATGTGACTTTTTAGTATTGATATTTGCTCAAATGAGAATCTAGTTTTGATACTAGTTTTAGCATCGATTAGTCTGATTTTCGATACTTTTGACAACCCCGTATAGTCCAACCCAACCCAGACTGAGCAGTGATGTTCCCATATATTTGATTTCCGTAGCCATAGCTCCACGTCTTAAATAGACATTTCAGAGTAGCGTGATGGTTCGGTGGGCAGGGGCACTGTCAGCTGTGAGTGGCGGTTTGACAGCTCCAGGCCTGAGCAGACAAAGCCTCTCTGAATCAGCTTTATATATGACATCCATGTTGTTCATTCCTCTGCTCCCTCTGCCACAAAATCTCGCAAAATCACAGACCAAAAACTTAAAAATCCGTCAATCTCCTTCCAAATATTCACTAGTTTTTCTGTTATAAAGACCTACACTGCAAGAATGGATAAGCTGGTATGAGTAGATCACGGTAAATGCAGCGGATTCAGAATTTCAATGAATTTAAAGGTGCACTGTGTAACTTTTCTGAAGGGAAATCTCTTACTGCTTTGCCTGGAATGTTCCACAGTGTTACAGTAAGCTTGATCTATCTTGCATTTATTCAATTACATTTGTTTTTATTGTTTCAAACAACTTAAAAAAACAGGCGTTCATACAGGGAGTGGCTCTCCACAGACATGACTTGTAACTAGGCTTAGTCGCCATGGAGATAGATAAGTTAATGCCATACTGTGGAACACTCCAAGCTCTAAGCAGGTGGTGGAAACTTCACTAGAAAAGTTGCAGACCTTTAAATGTATTTATTCAGTAGAACAAAGTTAGTTTAAAGGTGCACTGTGTAGCTTTTCTGGTAGGAAGTCTCCTAACTGCTTGTCTTCATGGAAATGGTTCTACTTTTCCTGGAATGTTCCACAGTATTACAGTAAGCCTATCTATCTTGCATTTATTCAGTTACATTTGTTTTTATTGTTTCAAAACACCTTAAAAAAACAAGCATTCGTACAGTGAGTGGCTCTCCACAGATACGACTTGTAACTAGGCCTAGTCGCCAGCTTGTTTCCATGGAAATAGATAAATTAATGCCATGCTGTGAAATGCTCCAAGCTCTAAACAGGTGGCAGAACCTTCACCAGAAAAGTTGCAGACCTTTAAATGTATTTACTGCAACCTGGGTTCAAATCCCCCTTCTGACTCAGATTTATCATGCACATTACCTGTAAATGTCATGCAAAATCTTCACTTTATCTTTACTAGTTTTCTTATAATATAGTTGTATGTGAAAAATGCAGAAGGGGGACACTTTCAGGAGTAAACCTTACATGACACATATAAACCTTATATAAAGATTTACTACAAAGACAGAGGTAAATTCTTATTTTTTTCCCCCCGTTTTTTTCCATATGGGATTACAGTCAGAATAAAAAATCTTCTTATGTCACAGTTGGCTCAAGTCCTTCTCCAGGACTTGGGGCTCAAGGGCTCCAAGACCTTCAAGTCAAAGTCAAGTCCTAAGTCTTGTTCTATTTTATCAAGTCAAGTCAGAACTTCTAAAAATAGTGACTCAAATCTGATTCAAGTCCAAGTCATGACCTGCATGTCCCCACCTCTGCTCTAAAGTTAGTGGCATGCTGATGCGCACTTTTTGATTATCGGAGAATTAAACACAGCAGGACACAGCAGACTTATTTTGACCTCAGTTTTGACCTGCTTATACAACATATCTGTAGTGGAGCAGGACCAACGCTCAAAAATATCTTGAAAACAGTTGTTCGTACTCTGACTACTTCAAATATGTTTAGGCCATAGAGTCTATAAAGAGGTGGACATCACCTATAGTGTTCGGCTCCAGTCAAATGAAGCTTATCGTGGCTTGCGGACTGACAGTAGCCGTTACAGAGAAAGGGGCGATGTTTTTTTAATACAAAAGTGAATTAGAGCCAGAGTCGAAGGAGCCGGGAGCGTTGAATCTGTATGTATAAATGTACATTTATATATGAATACTAATAAGTAAGTAACTCTAAGATATTTAAAACCAGTGTTGGGAAGGTTAATTTTAAAATGTATTCACCTACAGATTACAGATTACATACACCAAAATGTAGTTTGTAACGTAATCCATTAAATTACTTAAAGAGAGTAACGTAGTCTGAATACTTTGGATTACTTGATTTGAAGCAAAGCCTAGGAAATCGTAACATAAGAAGTTTTGTCTGCTAAAAGAAAATAAAAAGCCCAGACTTTACTTAACCGTATTAAAAATATTATTGATAGAAGAGGAGGAGGAGACACATCCAGGCAGCCTGGTTTAATCTGTTAAATCCTGTTTTAGTCCTGGTTTAGTCCTAGTTTAGTCCTGGTTTAGTCCTAGTTTAGATCCTAGTTTAGACCTGTTTTTAGTCCTGGTTTAGATCTAGTTTAGACCTGCTTTTAGTCCTGGTTTAGACCTGGTTTAGATCTAGTTTAGACCTGGTTTTAGACCTGGTTTAGACCTGCTTTTAGTCCTGGTTTAGACCTGGTTTAGATCTAGTTTACACTTGGTTTCGTTTCCGGCAATGAGAGGAATTACCAAAAAAAATTAAATAAAATATAGCCCAAAATGTGAAAACAGTAAAATACCTCTGTGTAATCCATTTATTTCAACAAAGTAACTTTAATCCAATTACCACTCATTGAATCAGTACCTGTAACCGAATACAGTTACTCATAATTTGTACTCTGATTACGTAACTCTGGTACATGTAATCTGTTACTCCCCAACAACACTGTTTAAAACTACAACCAATCTATTACATCTTATTCACATAGATGTTCCTCTATTTTACAGTGTGTGTACGTGTGTGTAAAAATAGCCCCAGATGGTTGACCGGTCTGATTATACGCTGAATCTAAATGCGTGTGTGTGTGTGTGTTTTTAGTCTTGTGTGTGTGTGTTTTAGTCTTGTGTGTGTGTGTGTTTTAGTCTGTGTGTGTGTGTGTTTTAGTCTTGTGTGTGTGTGTGTGTGTGTTTTAATCTTGTGTGTGTGTGTGTTTT